TGGGAGTCATCAGCAATGCTAGAAATTAGGCCCAAAGCCAGAAACAACTTTTGGAAATAATGTCCTAAGATTTTAGTTGTTCCTGCTTTTTTCATAGATTAATAGATTCCATGGCTAGAAAGACTGATTAGATTTTCTAGTGTGACTTCTTGCGTAGTGCAGACCAGATAATTACCCCTGTACTGTGCCCAATAACTTGGGTTTGACTAAAGCATCTTCCAGAAAGGCAACCAGTCTGGATCTGAAGACTTTAAAAGACATGGGAACTTGACCATTTGGGTACATATGGTTTGCATGAATCACACAGTTTTCAAACTATTTAATATGGGCCTTTGTGGATGAGAAGTTGGTCCAGTGCAGAGCTCTGCATTGCACTAATCCACAGGGTAATTTGTTCATAGAATCAATGCAAGCTTTTTTGGCCCATTCTGGAGAGGTGCAGAGCACGCTCAGCTCCTGCTGGCATCACAAGGCATGTTCAGCTCCCAGGTCACTCCATGTAATTGACATGGGCCCAATCCTGCATGGTGTGGGCCAGACCCGGCCACCTTTACATGAGTAGCCATGACTCACTCACGTGACCACACTGGTTTTGCTATGAGCACTTGCATGAGTAACTAATACCTGTGTGAGTAAGGGCTTCAGGAGGAGGCCAATTTTGCAAGCAAAACTCAGTGGAAGACCTGGTGGATTGAAGAAGATCCTTAGGGCTAGGTCTACACTGCAGCTGGGCCCCCCAGCCTGGGCAAACAGACTTGCACTAGCTGCATACAAGCTAAAGTTAGCAATGTGGACATTGTGGCTCAGGCAGCAGCTCTGGCTCCAAAGCTCAGCTGACCCCCTGACTGTCTGCAAAGTCCAAACTGCTAGTTTTAGTGCCCTAGCTGGACCCAACCTATCACCTATCTAAGATATAGCAACCTTTATTCTTTTGGGCAATGCGTAATCCTTGCTGATGAGATCAGGAGATCTCTGAGACTAACTGTTAGAGGAAGATTTATCCACTTGAGTGCTGCAACATTAGTTGGTTATGTTAAACTTCACAGATCCCCACCTGTTCACACCGGTGTTCAAGGCAGACAATGCCATGGGGAGGCTGAAGCTGTTTGTTGAGATCAGTGAGATCACCCATAGGGCCTAGTATCCCTAGACATGTTCACTAGCTCACACTTATAGCAGCCTGATGAGTCACCAAAGAAACAGCCCTTTGTTCTCAAGGCAGGTGAGAGACTTTCTTGATTTTATTAGAGAACTGATAACAATATTATCTCACTTTGTTCTTTAAGTTGTGTATTGAGAGCTATTTGGGGTGCACAGTGCTTTACAATGGGAGTAAAGACATGGTCCTTGCTCTTAAGATTTTATTGACTCAGCTGATCCTGGCAAGTCAAGATACTAGGGGAGATAACAACAGGCAATGGACAGAATGCACTCAACTGGACAATGAGTGTTGGTTTGCTAGCAGCACAGACAGCCTAGTTTCTTTCTTTCTTTCTTTCTTGACTGGAAGTATTGGTGGAGTGATTCTAAAATAAGGCGTTGTTCCGAAGACTGAAATAAAGGAGGAGAGAGATGTTTTGTGCAGAACTGGTTCAGGGAAGGCAGCTCATGGATTTGGGTTGCCACTTCCAGTGAAAATGTAACAGGAATGGGGTGCCCAAACTTTCAGGCAGCTTTGAAAATTTTAGCCTTGCAGCCTGGGAGAAGATGTTTTGTGTTATCTGGTGATAGACCTGGTGTACCTGGAGGGGTTGCAAAAAAAAAAGGGGGTGAGGGACGTGGGGACCTCTTCCTTTCTTTACTCATTGATACTTAAACTTCTTTTTTTTTTTTGGTCTACTTGTTGCATCCTGCCTGTAAGTTATCTGGGCAGATGCTGTCTCTTTACTACGTACGTGTGAAACACCCAGCACAACAGGGAACTGATTGCTGATTAGGACACTATATGCTACAGTTCTAGAGCTATTACTACTTGTACTATGTATAGCCAAGTAGGGGGCTGGGAAGACTGAGTAAATATATGTTTTGTAACCCACTCTTCCTTGGGAATGTTTTTATCTGGTTCCAGATAAATGTACAGAAAATGCTACATATAGCTCACATGGCTTGTTGTTTAATTTGAAACGGAGAATTGGTCTGTTTGTAGACCGTATAAAGTTGATAACAGAGCTTGTCAAATTAGAAATTCTGACATTTTGTAACTTTCATTCATCCTGATCTGGAAGAAAAACTAATAATTTTGAAATGTCCCATGAAACTACAATTCTAAAAATCCCCTCATTTTGGAAATATTGAAACAACCTTACCAAAACGTATTTCAGTCAGGTCAATGCATTTCATTTTTAAGTTTGAAGCCCTTTATTTTGACTTATCATGTCAACATTTATATTATATTATATTATATTATATTATATTATATTATATTATATTATATTTTATAAATTTTGATACTTTTCAGTCAAAAATTTGTCAAAATTGCTACATTCTCATATTTTTTATTAGTCGTCATTTTCTGATGGATAACTGTTATGTTGAAAAACTTTCAACCAGCTCTAGTCCACAGAGGTCTCCTCCCCAGCAGAGATTTCAGAGACTTCTGTGGTCATGATATATATCAACATCAATAACAAGGGAAAGGTGAGTAGGTGGTATGGGAAGCTAAACATACAGTATTAGGAAATAGGGTTAAATATTCTGTTCAAGAGCAATAGCCAAAAATATTGCAGTATCCCTATAATAAAGCTGAAGTGTTTTGGATAATTACTGTAAAATTATATAGAAGGATAAAAAATATGGTATTTTTTGCCTTTGTTTTTTATAATCAATATAAAAAAAGAAGAGAAATCCCATGAAAGAAGAAAAAAAAGCTTAAGACATAATGACAATTACTATCTATCTATCTATCTATCTATCTATCTATCTATCTATCTATCTATCTATCTATCTCATCTCTAATAATTAAATTAAACAACTGGGCAAACTGTTTGATTACTGTAAATGTTAATCTATTGCTGTCATTTCAATAAAAGCTACCAGTATTTCTAGGTATTTTTCATTTCTTTTTATATGTAAAAGTAAGATTTCCCATTGCTGATAATTGCCAAAGTTGACAGTGGTAAATAAAATTATTACCATTGTGCGGGACATGGGCGATGCCTCTATTATTTTATTAATATTCTTCCTTCATCTATTTGTTTGCTTGTGTTTTTCGTGGTTGCTATATTGTTACAAAGAGATTAACTCTCACACAAGTGGACAGCAGGTAGACAGGAAGGGAGGTATAAGTTTCATATAGCATCATTCACCAATACTTATCAGGACAATTCAAGTGTCAATTCCTTTGAAATTTACCTCTGACCATACTGAGTCATAATTCCCAGCTTAGTACAGGGGTGTGGGAAGAGTTTCAAGTGGGAAAACTGAATCAAACAACTTTTGCTGTTGATGAAAACCAAAGCCTCTGAGTTCAGAGCAGGGAGAAAGGGGAAGCAGACTGAACCCCTGTTCCAGAAGCATGGGTGTTTTAAGTAAAACAGGTGCACACCAGCCTTCTATTGTTTAACCTTCTTCTCTTGTTATGCTTTGATTCCTGCTGCTGAGATTAAACAATACTTTGTTTTGAAAAGGCTGCTTTGTGTTCACTGTGTTCGCCAGTAGTCCCAGATCCTAAAGGGAAGCCTTGCAGGGCAGCTAAATCCATCTGGGCCTGTGGAGCAAACACAGTTGGTACCCAGCAGGCTGTAGCCTCATTTGAGAGTGGAAGAATTGTAGGATTCCACACCAGAGAGGTGACGGCAAGAGGCCTGTCTCTGAAATGGGTTGCACTCAGGGAGACGTTGAGGGGTCTGCGAAATACAGCTATACCTGAACTGTGATAATCATTATTAATAGGTCATTTTTTCCAAATGGGTTCTATCAATCAAACCATCTAGCTGAAGCTATGAAACAGGATTCATTCAAATACTCTCCTGTGTCTGTGCAGAGTAACATTATTGTTAGTAGCAATTACTATATTTGTTATGCTACTAACTAGGGGCCAACCTAGAACAGTCTCTATAGTGCTAGATACTGTATAAAGATAGAATAAAAGAAAGTCCCTGCCCCAAAGAACTTTTACTCTAACTGGACAAGACAGATAAAATGCAGGGGAAAGGGAGAAAACATTGACTTCAGTGATCTCCACATGGGCATACAGGAAAATCCACATGAATCTGATTATAAAATCAGGGCCTGAGAAATGGAGTGTATGTACATTTAGTATGAAATATTTATGATTTTTCGAGTATTAGACCCAAGAAAATAATGATCCAAGTCAATGGGATTTGTGTCTCAAGTAATCTTCATTGCAAAGGCTGGCATTCTTATACATGTTGAGTTGGTGCCTCCATGTTTGAATGGTCTTATTTAAATTAGCATGAGACTGGAATTTCCAAGTGTATAAAGGAATGAGGTGCCCAAATCTCATTGAAATTTAAAAGCATAAACCTCTTAGTTTCTGTTGAAAATCCCAGCCTGAGAGAAAGTGTAATGGAATCTCTCTTTTGAAATCAGTGTCACTCATCAGCGACTAAGGTATCATTGACCAGAGTGGTAGAATCTGATACTTGGCCCTTTTTTCCCCTCTTCATTCATGTTCATTTGTAACAAGTGTGATTTAAAACAAACACTTTAGCCAGCTCTAGTTATGCCGGAGAAACGTGATCCTGTTTCATGAAAGATTTCAATATTTCAAAAGTGGGTTTTATTCAGAATGAAAACCACCATTTTTGACATTTTCTGTAGAAGGGAATGGAGCCCCGTTTTTAGGGCAGCATGCCCCATTGGGCTGCCCTAGAGTGGCAGACCCTTGAACTCTAGGTTTCCCATCAGCCCACCTATCTTCCAGAAAGGCATCCAGTCTTAATTGATATAAGAGCTAGAGATACACTATGTTATGCTTGTCTCTGTTTGTCTTCCAGTTGAAAACCTATGAAGAAACAATGAATTTGAATCAAACGGTGATGACTGAGTTCCTTCTCCTGGGATTTTCTACTTCTCCAGAGAGGCAGTTTTTACTCTTTGTTGCAGTGTTAGCCATTTATCTGGTTACTGTGATGGGAAACCTCCTCATTATCCTTGTAACATTGGTGGATCCAACCCTTCATACCTCCATGTACTTTTTCCTCTCTAATTTGTCTGCCTTAGAGGTTGGTTACACCTCGGTCACTGTCCCAAAAATGCTGGTGAGCCTCATCTCAGGGGACAAACGCATTTCCTTTACCAGCTGTGCCGTGCAAATGTTCTTCTTCCTTTGCTTTGGGATCACAGAATCTTCTTTTCTGGCCACTATGGCATATGACCGCTACGTGGCAATATGCAACCCCCTGTGTTATCCCATGATTATGAACAAGAAGGTGTGTGTCCTGCTGGCAGCCACTTCCTGGACTATCGGCATCCCGGCCCAGGTAGTGCAGACAAGTTTGGTGTTCACCTTACCCTTCTGTAGCTCCAAAAAGATCAACCATTTCTTCTGTGACTCAGCCCCTCTGCTGTTGCTGGCCTGTGCTGACACCTCCATGAATGAAACCTTGACTTACATGGTGGTCACTTTCTTTGGAATGGTGCCCTTTGCCCTGATTCTCTTATCCTACATCCGGATCATTGCCACCATCATCAAGATGACATCAGCTGAGGGCAAGAGGAAAATCTTCTCCACCTGCTCCTCCCACCTCATCGTTGTGGCTTTATTCTATGGTTCTGGCATTATCCTTTATTTACAACCCAGGTCCAGTGAGTTTCCAGACAGTGGTAAACTTCTCTCCCTGTTTTACACTGTTTTGCCTGCCATGTTGAATCCTTTTATCTACAGCCTAAGGAACAGGGAAATCCAAACAGCCTTGAGGAGACATATGTGGCACAAAATGGTTCCCTGCTATCCCTGAGTGGCAGCTTTTCCAGCCTGTTCTGCCTCAAAGAATGTGACTTTTGAATAATCACACTGCTGGGGGGTGGGGTGGGGGGAATTTGCAGAAGCACCCATTAGTTTTGGCTGCCTTAGTAACTGAACTGAGACTCCTAGGGCTTGATTTCTGAGGATGGCCTGGTACTCCCAGTGACTTCTGCTGTTGTTATCAGTACTCAACCCTTCTTTTTTTCAAGTTGTGTACCTAGGCAATGAGGAGCACACAGTTACTGGTCACCCAGGAAAATTCTGATGGAAGTGGCTCAGCAGACATTCTGAAATCTGTAGCAAAACCAGGACTAGAAGCCAATTTTCTTGGCCTGACACCACCAGACCATCCCTTCTCTTCCAGTAGGCCTATGCACCATTGATTACACTCTTTCCAGCTTCTGCAATGAACAAGGCAGGGATTAGAACTGCCTGGAAAACAGAACTTTTCTCCTGTGGCTGTTTGAACAAATTTGCATCCCAAGTCAACAGGGACCAGGGACAAAAAGTGTTCACAGGAGGGAAATTATCAAAAAAATGCCTCTTCAGGAAAACCAAGGGGAAATTTCCCAGTGGGTCACTGAGCTGTCTAGGTAGTCCAAGAAGTCAAATTGATGGCTACCCAGGTAGTCAAGGAGGTGGCTGTCCAGAGAGTTGGGGAGTGTTTGCCCACCAAGTGGGGTGCTGTGGAGCCAGTGAGGCTGAATTTTCAGCAAGTTTCCTGGGACCTGGACAAGTATTGTTCCTGGCAGCTTGCCTGCCAGTTGCTAGGCTGGCAGTCAAGAAAGAGAACTTGGAGTCATTGTGGATAGCTCGTTGAAAACATCTGCTCAATGTGCAACAACAGTAAAAAAAATTGAAAAGAATGTTAAGAACAATTAGGAAAGGGATAGATAATAAGACAGTAAATATTATAGTGCCACTATACAAATCTATGATACCCCATCACCTTGAATACTATGTGCAGTTCTGGTTTCCCCATTGTCACAATGTCTGGATTGGCTCACACGTGCGAGTGCCTACCACTGGGCAGACTATCAGAAAACAGGTCAGAGACCCCAGATCAGTTGGTTCTCTAGATATCACACCAAAGACAATGCTGGTAGCCAACTCTATAGTAAACTAACTAGACGTTTACTAGCTAAGAAAAAAGAATGAGAATTATTGAGAGGTTAAAGCATGTAAAATATAGGCACAGGTGAATCACAGTTTGTAATTCCAAATGGTAGCAGAGATGTAGTAATCTGCAAGTTTCCAAAAAGGTTCTCGGGACTACTCAGAATAATCTCCATTTTCTCAGTCAGTTATTCTGCCATTTTAGAATCCAAATAGGCCAGAGATGAAGGATCTTTCCTTTAATCCATTCTTACAGTTTCTTCTCACAGAAAAGAAGCTGACAGTGTGGGCTTTTCCTCTGATAACAGAGATTGAGGAATGCATTTTAAGTCTTTGACCTCCGATCATTACACACAATGACTACAATGGAAATTAGCACTTTTCTATTAATGGTCATCATTTGCATTCCACAAGGGTTCTTTCTTGCTTGATAGGTTATTTAGTTACAGGGGTATACACAGTGTAAATGTTTACTACTACATTATAACAGGATTCAGATAAGTGAAAACAATGCATGTAACATCCCCTTAGTTTTCATGAAGCTTAAACACCAAATACACTCTGATACATTTAACAATTACTTTGATCTATCGTAATACACAAGTGAATTGACCTGAGACTTGGACACGAGCTGGCATCTGGTCTGCCAGTATCAAACCCATATCAAAAAAAGTTATATAATAATAGGAAATGGTACAGAGATGGGAAACAAAAATTATTAGGGGTATGAAAGAGCTTCCATATGAGGAGAAATTAAAAAGTCTGGGCCTTTTCAGCTTGGAAAAGAGCTTACTATGGGGGGATATGATAGAGAGCTATAAAATTGTGAATGATGAGAAGAAAGTGAATCAGGAAGTGTTATTTACCCCTGCACATAACACAAAAAATCAGAGATCATCCAATTAAATTAATAGGCAGCAGATTTACAACAAACAAAGGAAGTACTTCTTCACACAATGCACAATCAACCCATGGAACTTGTTGCCAGGGAATGTGATGAAGGCCAAAAGTATAACTGGGTTCAAAAAATAATTAGATAAGTTCATGGAGGATAGGACCATCAATGGCTATTATCCAAGATGGTCAGTGATGCAACCCCATGCTCTGGATGTCTCTGTTCTGTTCAAGTCCCTCTGACCCATCTGGCACTGGCCACTGTTGGAAGACAAGATACTGGTCTAGATGGGCTTCTTATGTTCTTATGTAGGCAGAGGCTACTGAGTGGGTACATTTCAGAGTCACAGACATTAAATTCAATTGAAAAATATATCATGATTTTTGGTAAGTGAAATATATTCCTTCTCAATCCATTTGCAGCTAATTTCACAGTCAAAGTATATGGGAATTGGAGCTGGCAAGACGCTTTCAGTATGACTATAACACTCTGCTAAGGGCAACTGTGGCAAAGGGATAAACTTTAACAACAGTTATTTTGGTCCCTGCTGGCTGATCAAAGAAGTGGCAATGAAGAATCTGTCCATAGGGTGTAAGGTGCTTGACCTTAAGGATGCCACTGTTTCTATATGTCTAATCCCAGATCTGGAGTGACAGCTGGCAACATGAAGGAACCCTGATCAATTTCATTTGAAACATGTTAATTTCACTGACTCTTGCTTAGGATAATTTTTTTTTTAAATCCTTGCTTCATTATGTGCTCATTAAAACCATCCCTGTTAGTAACACAGCCACCAAAAAGAAATCTCTCCAATCAGCCATGCAGCAGCCATGACTCTGTAGAGATTTACAAGAGAACACACAGGTTGTTATAATTTCACATGCCTTAATCTGCACTCTGAGAAATCTCAGCTGAGACCTGGGCACTGCCTGGAGATTTGTCAAACCTCTCAAGGAATTAAGGGGCAGTGGCAGAAGCAAAGTTACTAGTCATTTTAAGGGGTTCTGTGGAGGGCCATTAGACTGGAAATGCTGTTGGAAAATTCAGGTCGCAGTGGCTGTCCCAGCAGGGTTGATTAGCAAGGAAAATCAGAGGCATTGATTAATGTTAGACAAAGGAAGGGGAGTCAAGTATCAGGGGGTAGCCGTGTTAGTCTGTATCTACAAAAACAACAAGGAGTCTGGTGGCACCTTAAAGACTAACAGATTTATTTGGATATAAGCTTTTGTGGGTAAAAACCTCACTTCTTCAGATGCATAGAGTGAAAGTTACAGATGCAGGCATTATATACTGACACATGGAGAGCAGGGAGTTACTTTGCAAGTGGAGAACCAGTGTTGACAGGGCCAACTCAATCAGGG